GTTTCGTGGAGTTTTGAACTTTTTTTTAGGTTTGCTCGGAACTGAGAACCAAACTGACAATTCTGACTTCGGATTCGGATTCAGCGGGTCAAAATACATAGGAATATACTAGTCTGGTATACAGGCCAACCCACTTTTCTTTTTTTGGTATGCCTGTGCACAGGCACACACAAAAAAAGTGGGTTAGCCTGTATACCAGACTAGTATATTCCTATGTATTTTGACCCGCTGAATCCGAATCCGAAGTCAGAATTGTCAGTTTGGTTCTCAGTTCCGAGAAAACCTCAAAAAAAGTGTTTGTTTCGTTGAGTTTTGAGGTTTGCTCGGAACTGAGAGCCAATCTGACAATTCTGACTTCGGATTCGGATTTAGCGGGTCAAAATACATGGGAATACACTAGTGTAGTGTCTCGGCCAAGACACTTTTTATTTTTTGTGTGCCTGTGTATCAAAAGGCGTATAAAGGGGTGTGTGTGTGTGTGTGTGTGTGTGTGTGTGTGTGTGTGCGTGCGTGCGTGCGTGCGTCATATGTCTATATATAAACAAATGTCTTGCCTGACTGACTGACTGACTCATCAACGATCAGCCCAAACCCCTAAACCTAGAAACATGAAACTCGGGGCGTATATTCCTTTTATTATGATATAGACAGATAAACACCCACTAAGAAGGGATTTTTAAAAATTCGACCCCTAACAGGTGAAAAGGGGTAAAATGTGTTTTCATGGATTTCTCGACGTCACCGCCGGACAGCTCAAGCTAGTTGTTTATATATATCTGTTATATGTATCGATTATCAAATTAATAGTACATCGCAATATATTGGTAGTATAAATTCGCTATATTTTACGTTAAAAAATCTTTTTTAATTTGCAATTAAATTTACAGGTTGTTGGCAGTTGATTTCTTCGACTAGATAAGCGCTATTTTTTTATTTCACGGTCTCTTTTTGATCATAGTTCCTCTCGATTTTCCAAATCGGTAAGCGTGGAAGTATCATGCACGAGTTTCGAGTCTTCCGTGTCGCTGATGTGTCCATCCTCGCCGGTATAATGCGTCGGATAAATTAAAAGTGGATTCGTTGATAAGATAATCAAATCCCGAGTAGGAAATTGAGCCACCCACTGTTTCCTGTTGAAATACAAAACGTCAAATGAATATTAAGATCCTAAGCTACTCTTAACAGAGATGAGTCGTATAATGTGGAATTGACCGTGACTTTTAGAACATCCGATCGAATTTTATTATGGGATTTATCGTTAGCTTACTTCCTAGAGATTTATTTTTTCGATTCAAATGTGGATATTGAGTTATCCCTGAGATGTGAGAGATCTTTATTTATTCCTGAAACATTAATCATTTCACGTACTTAGGATGCGTGTCCGAAAGAATTGGAAGGAATTCATCAACAGGAATTAATTTCTCTAAAGGCATAGCACCGATCAGTTTCTTCGCTCCGCTCTCCGATAAAATGTAACCAAGAGTCCAGTAACTATATCCCGCCCGCACCAGGAACTTGGATCCTTCCACTAGACTTTCTGATTTAACCAATCTTTTCCTTCCCATATATCTAAACATAAGAGTGTTAAAATGTAATGTGTCAATTTTAGGTCTGATTCTCTAACCTAATTTTCGCCAAATAAATTTTCTTTCGTTGCCTATCGTACAATTCAAAAGAGTCAGAAAATCATTAAACCAGTTTTAGCAAGCTATAATTGCAAGTTGTTACAACAAAACCTTAATTTTCTTACTCTTTAATCTCATTTTATCTTTTCTCCTCTTATATAATTTTTATACATTGTTTAAAATAGAATTAAAGCAAGTAGTGAAATGTAACTGAGGTGAACGAGCAACAGGGATTTAGTTATCTCAGTATATTTACAAAAGCTCTTCCTGATGAGCAGAGACACAATATCAATAAAACATACAATATTAACCCTTTGCCCGTAAACTATAATTTGACTGGCATCGTCCGTAATCTGGGTCCTGTCGTTATTTTGACCTAGTAAATAGTGTTCAAAAAATCTGAAAAAATTCTGTAATACTTGTATACTATCCTATTTTATAATCCCAAAGTTTATTTAGCGATTCGTTATAAAATAAATTGTTTATAAATAATTCTTTATGCAAAAAATTAATAAAAATCCATTTTTATTAAAAAAATCATATTTCATTGAATTTTAAATCAAAATGAAAAATTCCAACGAGGTTTTATAGTTAAATATGTGTACTTTCAAGAAAAAAATTCTGTATATGGGTCATTTTCAAAAAGTATAATTATTCTGAGGATTAAAAATGGCGTTTTTTGGGTTAAAGAAAAATAAGACTTTTAGCGTAATTTTTACATTATTTTATTAAAAAATCATAAAATCGTTCAAGAACATTAAGAGTGATTTATTCTGTCTAAGAATTAGCACATGACAAACATAAATTTGTGCTTGTATCGAAATCGGAGTCTCCGTCAGCTTCTTCAGGCCCAGACACGTGCTCCTCGACTTCCTCGTGGTCTGACTCATTTTCAGAAGCTTCATCCTCAACTGCGTGACGTCTTTCTCGTAAATAATATCTGATATTTGTCGCTTGATCATCCATTGTACTCTGAAAGTACATGTAATTTCTTTTTACACGTGTTTTCATCCACTCACATTTTGAGGTTATATATATAATATACACAATCATAAAAAAATATCACTTATATAAGTTAAAAATAACTGTAGTAATATGAAAATGACGTTAAATTAATTTTACTTACTTGTACGAAAGTCTGGCACTGTCCGTAATCAGGGTCAATATTGGCACTGGACGCACTTTGACTCGCTGCTGGTCAAGCACACACTGGCGAATTCCAACGAAACTTTGGGCATGAGTTCTCCTCACTACCTACTTTTTTTACGAGGGAAAGCAAGCCCCCCCCTTTTCATTTCGGCGGTATTCTATTTTGAATTTCGGCTTGTGCCATTTACGACCCAGATTACGGGCGAAGGGTTAATCAATGTAAATAGCAAACACATAGAATTGTAGCACAGTTCAAAATAAAAGCAGAATATTAATAATTCTTATATCCTAAAAAATGAGAGCAAATTAAGCATAATATATATAAAACATTGGCATTAATTATGTAAAATAATTAATTCTTTACGACACTGTATGTGTCGCGATCGCAAATCGCATTACGTTTATATACCGCTACGAAAACTTAAACAACTAGCTTGAATAATGCGCAACGCAATGCTGAAACTAAGAAATATAAATGAATATCAATATAACGCGATATAATTTGGTAGGACATGTAATGCTTCTCCCGAGAATCTTTACTTATTGCCACGGGAACGCAAGAGACCCGCGTGACGGGCTAAACAATGAGATATCAAATATCAAGGTTATTTTACCGTACCGACATAAACACAGAATCTCTCGAAAATGAAATTACACAACGAAGCGTCTCGAGTCAAAGACAGCGCGGAATCGGTAGAAATATAATTAAAGCGTGTACACGTGGTGTAAACCGATGCGCGGCTTATCGATATTGCGATCTTACCCGCGATAGAGACCGTCGTTAGACAGCGTTATCCGATGTAATCGGAAGGGCTTAAAAGAGCCCGCAATGGCGTGGTCCACGCTTATCCGAAATACGGAAAGAAAAAGAAACGAAGTACTTAACGTTGAAGAACTCAGCTCGATCGTCATAGGCGGCATTAACCAGGGATGCAATTCTCGATAGCTAGCGTAATTCGTCCTTCTTATTAAGCACTCGTATCCTTCGTCCCTCGTGCGTCGGCTGGAATGTCCTCGCTCTCTCTCTTTCTCTCAGGCGGTAATGAGCACGGAAATCGCACGCACGCAGGAATCAATCCGGTCGTGATCTCGAGGATCACACCATGCGCGGTAACGCGGGCGCGAGGCCGGTACCTCGAAAGTAATTATGCAATGACGCAGCTTTATACGATACTTTCCGAGCAGAATATTCTTCAGTATATTCAGAATCACGCCTCGCACAATTAATTGATACAACCGAACGATCTCACTCGACCGTACTTTATCGGGATTACGCTTATACGAACAATTCTTGCAAAGCGAGCAAAAGAACAACGACCTCGAAACGTGCTTTCGGTATCGCGGACCTTGAGCGAATGGCGCGTAACGCGGCTCGTCGCGTCGCAAGCACGGACCGGTAACAACAAAAGAGGATCGGTAGCGCGCTCCTAGCTTCCGGCGCCGTGGTCGCCGCGACGCTATCGATATCACAAGCGAGTCGATATTTTTGAGAACGCGCTAAATTCGAACATACATACAGGGTGAGTTTCTTAAATTAACACACCTAAATATCTCGAAAACATCAATTAAAAACAAAAGTTTGAAACAAAAGGTGTTTGGTTTGGGAGCGGGGGGGGGGGGGAACATAACAGGATTATTTATTTTTTATTTGGTGGGCGTTTTCAGAGGTAAAAAAAGGATAAAGGATAAAGAATTTTACTTTATATATCCCAAGGGGTCTTAAAGGGCGTTTTGAAGGGACGTACCCAACCCTAACCTCCAATTCATCCACTACCTTACTGTTTCCTTCTTTGGACCAACGGTTTAACGTCTCTTCCGAAAGACGGAGCCCAGTTTTCTCCGCATCTTGCACGGAGGGGCGCGGTTTTTTCAGAAAAAAACTTTTCCATGATTCATGGCTCAAGTGGACTCGAACCTGGTTCCTCAGATTACGAGTCTGGCGCTCTACCACTAGACCACACCGCCACCCCGTTTTCAGAGGTATTTCAGGGTCAACTTTTTTTTAAATAGAAACCTATATTTTTTAAATGGCATCTTATTTTATGTAAAAAAAACAAACAACTTTTGTCTGAAACATTTTTTTACACAGCCTCTACTTTCCATGATATTTAACATTATTGTCGAGACAATATTTTGTTAAATATCTCGGAAAATTGAAGCCGGATAAAAAAATGTTTCAAATAAAAGTTATTTGGGGGAAATAATTTAATGTTGTCAATATAAAGTACAGGCTTTAATCCTCCGTCACCTCCCTGGGTCTTTTTGGGCTCATGCAAAATTTTGAGCTCAGCAAATATCTTCAAAATAAAGAGAGGGCGAGGTCTGGCTCCCCTCCCTAAAAAAAGTTGTTAGTAGTGAGAACTTACTCGCCAAGGGACGCCAGGATCCGACAGGCTAGACAAAATAGACCCAGAGGGAGGTAACAAAAGCAGTAAAAATAACGGTAGTAACGGAGGGTTAAAGATTGGAGATTGTCAACAAAAGCGATAGTATAGATTACTACAATATGTAAACAATAAGAGTTTAAAGTAATGTAAACATTAAATTATTATTTGCTGTCGGCGAAAAGACACTAAAATTAGTACTCATTCTATGTTTGCTTATTATTTGAGGTAATTTCTTGTGTGATAAAGTATGTTCTAAATTTGCTTCTAAATTGTTGACATTAAATTATTCCCTCCTCAAGACCAAATAACTTTTATCTGAAACATTTTTTTATCTGGCTTTCCGAGATATTTAACAAAATACTCAGGTAGGTAGCAAGATGACGTCTAAAAACGTCTTAATGACGTTAGAGACGTCTGTTACTTGGAGTACTGTCTTGATATTAATGTTAAGTATCGTAAAAAGTAGATACTAGATAAAAAAATGTTTCGGACAAAAGTTGTTTGTTTTTTGCATAAAATAAGATGCCGTTAAAAAAATATAGGTTCCTATTTTAAAAAATAAAGTTGACCTAGAAATAACCTTGAAAACGTCCACTAAATCAAAAATAAAATAATGCTATTATGTTTCCTCTCCAAAATCGAGCAACTTTTGTTTCAAACTTTTTTTCAAAAGTGCGTTGTTTTCGAGATATTTAGGTGTGTCAATTTAAAAAACTCACCTTGTATATCAGCTTTAAATAAGATAAATTGTAGAATCGCAAAAAGCTGATTGAGAAACAATCGAATTATGAAACAACGCTATGAAGTAATCAGAAAATAATAAATTTTGCCAAAGGACTTACACCAAATCCCACTCGATTCCGAGATCAGATAATTCCGCCAAAACGTAATCGACTTTCTGTCGGAAGAACGGCTCAAAGCGAACGTCATCCTCTAATACCATAACGCTTTTGTAATTGTGCTCCAGTACCTAATATATATATTTCATCAGTAATAAACGAATTCTTTTTCACTAAAAAGTTTTTTATTACCTTCTGCCATACGACGTAATGACTGAGAAAGCAGCCAATCTCGCCCATCGTCATAGGTCTACGCGCAAAGGAAGATAAATTATTATAAGAAGGATTCCGAAAATTATAGGGGGAAGTGTAGTGCACTTGATTTCGTATTTAACAAATCTTACAGATCATTAATGAACAATCTGGCCGTTAAAAATTTCTCTTTTTGAATTTAATTGATTAAATTAAATTTTCCTCCTCTTACCTTTTGTGATAAGGATCTGAGTATTCTGACATCGGTGTCACGCCCCATTCCTTTAGGGAACTCTCGTTCAAAGTCCTGAAACAATAAGAAAGAACAAGATAAAATTAACATAATTAGCGAAAAATGCATGATAATAAGAGTCATCTGGGAAAGACGTAAAATATGCTCACTAACAATACACAATCTAAAGTATATCAGTATTTTACTTAAGAGATTTATTTAGACCATCTTGATACCTTCACAAAATCGATTTTTTTGTTTTAAATTAACATTTATAGTCTTAAAAATAATGTACCTATAAGTGGTTTAGTTTGAAAATTTGCAGTATTCTTTAAGCTACAACTTCTTAACCGACGTGCGAAATAGGATATTCGAGCAGTCGAGTAATCGAGACGTACGGACAACAAAGGATCTCTTGACTTTTATTATCCTTTAGTAGTTTTTTTTCTCCTTCTCTTTCATGTTTCTAAGACAGGAATTAAAGAAGGAGAATGTGGTTAGGCCTTAGTATTCGAATCTTATTGTTAGTCACTCCGTATAATATTGTTGACTCAGAGGGATTTAAGGCATATACGCTTTTACTCAGGTACCTCATCTCACTGCCACTATCTATATTCCCTTTATAATCTTGCCAAATATATAAATTTCTACTGGGATTTTAACGACCGGCTCTCTACCGTTATCTCCGCAAAAAATTCGTCGCTGAATCGATGGACTAGATGGGATGGCAAACCTTTTGGTCTCCAGTTTTTCAGTAGTTTGACTTTAGTGATTTTCTCGGAATTTTCTCTAACGTTATTGTTTAAATTTCCACATGAAAACATAGACAATTTTGTTTCTTAAAGCTTTTCGTTAGAGAGAGTTGACTTTATTTCAGTTTCGTCCTCTACTAACTCTATTTCCTCCTTCGTTTCATCGTCGATAATTAGGAAAGGTTTATCGTGGTCGTTTTTATCAGTAGATTGTTAGAGGTGTGCGAATCAAGCATTTACAAAATCGAATCAAATCGAATCGAACCTTTGATAACATGTTCGAAATCGAATCGATTCGAATACGAATCGAATTAAATTTTTTCGGATTTAAATTATAAACAATTACGATATCCAAAATAACTATAATATTATACCAGATTGGGAAGGAAACATAGAAAGAATCCGTTAATCCGTTAAATTATCTATTAACTCATTCGTTGATCGTATTTAATACATGTTAGAAGTATCAACGCTAAAACGAATATTACGGGATAAAATAAATATTTTTAATTTACATGTGTTATCAGAACTCTATTGTAATATGACGAAATTATATTAAAAAGTGAGTTAATGCACGGTAGTGTACAAGATACATAATTGGTCGCGCAGGAGATATAAATAAAGTAATCAAAATAGGCAATCGATTCGAAATCGAGTCATCGATGATTCGAAATTCTCGAACTATTCAATTTCGAATCTTTATTTATCCTATTAGTACTATTAGTAGATCTTTCAGAATGAGTAAGAATTAGTTTGGATCCTTTTCCGTCTTAGGGAAGTTAATTTTCCAACTGCTAACATATCTACCTATTTTCATTCCCGGATTGTGATACTAATTACTAGAATAAGATGGCGAGGATGTACGTGGAATCCTTCGACCATTTCTAGAGCCATAATATTCGCAGCTAGCACGGTGACACTCGCTGCTGTCGCTCGAGTCACTTGTCTGCCATGATAAAGTGCCCCGTGTTATTATTTCTGGTTGTTGATCATTCGAAAGCTGCGACGAGGATCCCGTAAAGCCGCATAAATTGCTAAGATTCCTCGTATTCCTACTACGCGTTTCAATTCCTATCTGAAGACTATCCTGACCTTGCGACCTATTAATATTTCTGTTATTTACTGAATTCGAGTTTGAACCTGTCTGTAATAATTGACTATACTCATGGCTCGAGTGTTTCCTCCGTTACCGTCTTTCCGTTTGGTAAACAGTAAATTACTGTTATTTTTTGTGATAGCACTGTGGGGTCGGTAAGGTTCATTGACGAATTTGTTCCTGTCGTATTTCCGGTTTCGTCGTTAAAAAAATGAACTCTAAAAAATGAACTCTACGGAGTTCTTTTTCTGCAGATCTTTCAGCCCTTATTGGTATATCCGACTTCTCATTTTTGTTATTCCCTCTAGCAAATAAATCTTTGAATTAGACTACAGACGGTCCCCTTTGCTGATTTTGCATTCTTCAATCTCAAGTCCATCAACCGACAATTTTACCTGATTTCTTCCATACACTACAATAAAGGCTCTCCCTTTTGACTATCTAATTGATGCAAGGGCATTGCCTGGTTATTAATTCAACCAGTTATCTCTCTATCTGCATTATTATTTACTATTTCGTCACCCGACGGATAAACAGACGACTTCCCCATTTCAATGACGTTACTACCGGTCGTGTCTCCTCTCTCCGTGGTTTAGATTGCGACGAGTTATTAGTAGCATTATCATTTTGCTCCATAAAAGTTTTAATTAAACTCAGCATGTGAGTATTACTTTGTATAATATCATTGAAGCGAGTATTATTTATTACTATCTTATTAATTTGCTTCCCGATTGCTTCGACCGCCATCAATATTCTGTATTTCATTACGCAAAGTACTTATCGCTTCTCTCTCTATAGGCGTAAATCTTTCTGTATCATTTATCACCGGAGTATTTCTTTCTCGATCCCTTCCTATTGATGCCGGTGTTCCCCCCCCTTCCGAACAACTGTAGGAGATGGCGCCTTGTTATTTTGTATTATAGAAATACCCGCATCAGGATCTGGCACTGACTTCGACATTGACGAATCTATTATCGCTTGATCATTCCCTGAATTATTATCAGTTTGCCCCTGAACAAATCTCGGTCAACCCGTTGTCCAACAAGCCCCCCCCTTCTTGGGCTAAGGAAACCGTCTCATCAAAGCATACGGAGGAATTGCGAGTCTCTATTTTTCTATTCCTAGTGCTCATTGACATAGTTTTCTTAGGTAGCGAAAAGAATAGGGAAGTCATACCAAGTATATGACTATACATGTATATTGCCAAAAGCTCTCTTCCGAGAAAGTCTCACGTAATTTTACTTAATCGACTGATAATTGAGGACACCTAGTTCAACCGAAGTAATCTTTTCTCAATCGACTTCCGATGTAAGTATTTTCGGTCACTTTATTTCGAATTTTATCGATAGATTTTGATTTACTAATATTTAGTGTGCATCTATATACTGTGTAAGTACCTGACGTCTGTCTGTCTGTCTGACCGCGAACTACTCATTCGTTAATAATAATAGAGCGAATCTTAAAGGATTTTATATATGAAACAGGGGTAGAATTTTCCAGGGATGACGGTCATGTGTATAATTTTTCGTTACCGATTTTTTGGAAACCGGTACCGAAATTTTTTTTAATTTTTCGTGGATGGCAGCGATGGGTTTAATTTTTTATCAATGTACCGATTTTCTGGAAACCGGTGATAAAATTTTTCTAATTCTTCTGACTGCAAAATATTCATTTATTAATGAACCGATTTTCCTCAAACCGGTTCCAAAATTTTTCTAATTTTTCGGGAAATATTAAAGCTCCTGGGTACTCGTCGCGGCCATATTGGAATGTGACGTCAGAAGCGAGAAATAACACGTTGAAAATTCTTGCGTAGTATTTCCAAATAAAAAGATATTTGCTTAAAATAACACTACAGATCACTTCAACACACTTCGAAAATACTCCGAGTTGAAGTTAAGGCTATCCCTTTCCTTTGACAGTTAATAAACAGCCGTAAAACGAATGCAGGCTTATGTGCAGGCGCTTGACTAGATTTTGTATTACATTCATTTTACGGCTGTTTATTAACTGTCAAGAGAAAGGGATAGACTTAACCTTCAACTCGGAGTATTTTCGAAGTGTGCTAAAGTGATCCTGTAGTGTTATTTTAAGCAAATATCTTTTTATTTGGAAATACTACGCAAGAATTCTCAACGTGTCAGTTCTCAACATTTCCCGCTTCTGACGTCACATCTCATGAGATGTCAGAAAAGAGCCTCCTGGCCAGGAGCCTTAAGTACTATAATGTCTGTCCGTCTGATCATGAGCTACTCATTCATTAATAGATTTTCTTGAAACTGGTGCTAAAATTTTTCTAATTATACGGGAATGGGTTTAATTTTTCATTAATGGACCGATTTTCTTGAAACCGGTGCCAAAATTTTTATAATTTTTTGGGGATGGCGACCATGAATTTAATTTTTTATTAATTACGATTTTTTAAATTATGGCCAATATCAATATATAACTAAAATAATATACAGGTCCATAAATCGCTCGAATAACTTTAAACATCTATTATTATAAGTATCTGATGTTTGTCTCTCTGTCTGTCTGTCTCACCGCGAAATATACTCATTCATTAATGGACGATTTTCTCCAAACCGGTCCCAAAATTTTTCTAATTTTTCGGGGATGGCGACAATGTGTATAATTTTTCATTACCAATTTTTTTGAAACCTAACCTTTCTAATTTTTTGGGAAATAATAAGTACTACTGTCGCAAACTACTTATTCATTAATGGACCGATTTTCTTGAAACTGATGCCAAAATTTTTGTAATTATACGGCGACGGGTTTAATTTTTCATTAATGGACTTATTTTTTTTAAATTGGTTTAAAAAATTTTCTAATTTTTCTAATTGCAAACTACTCATTTATTAATGGACCGATTTTCTTGAAACCGGTATCGAAATTTTTCTAATTTTTCGGGGATGACGACGATAGGTTTAATTTTTTATTAATGTACCGATCTGCCGATTTTTTGTAAAACCGGTCCAAAAATTTTACTAATTTTTTTTAGAATGGCAACAATGGGTTTAATTTTTTATTAATAGACCAACTTTCTGGAAACCAGTGCCGTTTTTTTCAGTTCTCTATACCAATGTATTCAAAATGTTTTAAAACATCGAAAAATCACATTTTTTAAAAATGTGTGCATATATTTCACATTTCACCCGCTGAGGCTGATCTAAAAGAAAGACGGTGATTCGTTCGATTTAATATGATTTAATGGGTAAATAATTTTAAAATAAGTTTGTTGCGACTAAATGTTCATACTTGGAATGCTTGAGTTAATTCGATTTAATTTTTTATTTGATTGACATATCGAACTATATGATCTACTTCCGCGCGTAGCGCGGATTTAAAAGCTAGTCTATTTATAATAGTGTGAATTGTACCGAACAGTTAAGTGGAAATATAAGAAATTCAAAGTACATGTTATTGGAATTAAGAGAGTACAGTGTTGGCATGAGGTAAAAAAAGCGTGGCAAATTGAGTTTCCTTGATACTACGGTCATCCGCGAGGGAGGCTCATTGCTCACGAATTGGTTCCGTAAACCAACTTTCTCGGGCCGGTACATAAATTATTTTTCAAACCATCCTATGAAATACAAAATTAACATCGTAAGGAATTTGGTTGATCGGGCGATTCTTTTGTCCGACGCGCGGTTTCACAATTCTAATATTAGTGAAATAAAAAAGATTCTTATTAATAATTGTTACCCGAAGAAAATTGTTGATAAATATGTCAATGTCCGACTTGGCGAATTGCGAAATCGTAACAACAATGATCCTGTCAGTAGCGAAATGGCCCAAGATCCTCGAAGGTGCATTACTGTACCTTACATAAAGGGCCTTAGCGAGAATGTTAGCCGTACAATGCGAGACATGAACTTTAGAGTTCTTCACACCATCCCGAAGAGATTGGATTATGTCATTAGGAAGGGTAAGGACGTGTTGCCGAATCTCAGTCAGACTGAGTTAGTTTATAAGATTGATTGTGCAAATTGTGATGCGGTATATATTGGCCAGACAAAAAGGCATTTAGAAACACGCATCAAAGAACATCGATGTGATATTAGGAAAAATGTAGATAATCATTCTGTTGTGAGCAAACATCGTCTTACACACAATCATGATTTCAAGTGGCAACATCCGAAAATTTTATACAAAGAAAAACATTTCAAAAAAAGAGAAATATCGGAAATGTTTTTCATTAAAAAACATGATTGCACAATCAATTTACAAAACGATACTGAGAGTCTGCCATCTATTTATAACCGGGTCATAGGTATTACTTAGTCGGCCCTGTATATTCGGTTCTGCTCGTTTTTCCATCAGAGCGCCGTTTGCTATCCGTGGATTACGTTTGACAACTTCATTTCGACTTTGACTGTCTTACTGTTCGGACGTTGTGCCTCGATATGGCTAGTGACGTTTTGATTTCACCGTTTGTTTTGGAACGCATAAGAATTGTAAGCTTTTAACTAATTTTTACAGTGTTAATTAATTTTATTGTTTTTGACCAGCGCGATATTGTAACGATTTTGTATAGTTTTTCTATTGTTAAATGTATTATTTTCTCTTTTGTTTAGTTTTGCGTTTGTCTTAACGTTGTCAGGACACCACGTCAACGATGCAATTTGTTATGCAGATCGGTGTAACTTAAATTAAAGCACTTGATAAGGACCGGAATTCGGTCGAAACGTCGTGCAATCTTGTTTTAATTGGCCAGTTGGGTCGAAAATAAAACGACTTATTTTGAATTATTTGCTGGCGACGGAAATTGTTTTGTTTAAAAAAAGCGTGTATAAACATGCGCCGAGCCCGAACATATCCGTACACTTGAATATTACGCGTGAAATTTCATGATATAATTCGGATATTTCCTCAACTGAATTTATTTCAATTTTATTTAGGAAAATCTCTAAATTTTACTGGCATCAGGTTTCCAACAAGTCCCACGTTGGGCGCCAAATGAGACAGGCTGTTTTAATTCAGACTTTACTACTAATTTAAACTCAATTGTTGAGATCGCAAGACAGCCCTCATTCGACGCAGCCGGGTCCGCAGTCGTCGGGGTCTTAGATTTTGAACTAAAATATTCGTTGGACGCCAACCAATTTTTATAAAAATGATAAAGGAATGAAAACAAATAGAATTCAGAGGTGGATAGTTGGAAGGACCCTAGACTATGAGCTTGATCATTTCGATATACAGGGTGTCCCATTTAAAAAAACGCACCTCGATAATTCTTCAACGAAGAATTTTCAGCAAAAATGTTTCAAACAATAGTTGTACGGTTTCGAGGGACACATAAGATAGTGTCATTAGTTTGACCTTGGATAAGCGTTTAAAGATCACGTAAAGGTCACTTTCAATTTTTTAAATAGAACCCCCCATATTGTAGTATATTGTTTGAAAGGATATAAAATAAGAAAAATTTTGGCGCAAGTTAGAAGTCGATACGTTGACCCATTCAAAAGTTATTTAGATTCAAAAATTGGCTTTTTCGAACTTTGATCCTAAATAACACTGAACGGGTTAACGTATCGACATCTGGTTTGCGTCAGAAATTTCCTTCTTTTATACTCTTTCGAACAATAACAGGATAAAAGAAATCTACAAAGAGACGGAGGTGACAATAAGGACGAGGGATGGATTCACAAAGTGCTTCAAGACGAAGAAAGGTGTAAGGCAGGGCTGTGTGATGAGTCCCGCCCTGTTCAATTTATACAACGCGGACATCGATAAAGTTTTAGAAAAGCGTGGTATAGGAGGAGTGGAGCTTGGAGGAGTGAGAGTATGGTCATTAGCATACGCGGATGATATGGTTTTGGTAGCGAAAAATAGAGAGGCTTTACTAGATATGATGAGCATGTTAAAAAGATTCTTAAAAGATAGGAAGCTAGAATTAAATACAGAAAAAACTAAAGTGCTAGTATTTAATAGTAAAGGTAAAAAAGGCAGAATGACATGGAAATGGGACGAAAAAATAATAGAGGAAGTAGATAGGTTTAAATACCTGGGTTTCACGTTTAATAAGAAAGGTAATTATGTCGATCATATAAAAGAACTGAAAAGAAAAGGAAGGATCGCTGTAAATAGGGTCTGGGGCTTAGGAGAAAGATTATGTAAAGATGATTTTAGTAGGAGATGGACGCTTTTTAAATACCTAGTGAAAAGTGTGATGGAATACGGAGCAGAGATATGGGGGTGGAGTGAAAAAAAGGAGTTGGAAAAAGTCATGTTAGATTATGTAAGATGGATATTTAGACTAGATTTTTGCACACCGAGGTATGTAATACTAAGGGAACTAGGATTAGAGAAACTTAAAATCTGTTGGGGTATAAGAGCCATGAGGTTTGAGAAAAGAAGCAGAGGGAAAAAAGATGGAAGTTTAGTAAAGGCATGTTGGGATGAAAAGGACACAAGGGATAAAAAGAAAAAGGATTTATATAATTTGGAACGGGAAAGGTTTTATAATAGCAATGGTTGGAGCTCTGAAGCAATAAAAGAATTAAATAATGAAGGTAAAAATACTGAAGGCTTAGTAAGAATAAGGGAACAGGATATTCAAAGGCAAATAATAAACAGTAAAATAGTAGAGGCAAGGTATAATACAAGGTACAAAGATATAGAGGTGACAAACAAAACGCCGAGTTATTTATTAAAAGCGAACTTGGATAAAGTGAAAACAGGAGACGAGCTTAGAGCGATGGTAAAATTAAGGTGCGGTAATTTTGAGGACGCAAATAAATACTGGCTTGACAAAGAAGATACGAAGTGTAGATTCTGTAAGTCAGGTAGGGACAATTTAGAGCATTATATAAGCGAGTGCAAGATCACAAGTATGTGGTTTGAGAATTTAGGTAGGAATAACGGAGAACGATTAGAGAATATATGCGATGACAAATTTAGAATGGAAAAAGGAAAGGTGCTAAATAGATTACGGAAAAGGAGAGAGGAATGCTACAAAAAAGATAACGATTGTAAATAATGTAAATCATAATGTATTGTGGCTTGTTTGTAAAGAAGAATGTTGTTTGATGCGTGGATGGATGTGTGAGTTAAGTGGAATTGTAAACCAAGTCCTTTCTTGGCGTATAGCTGAAATAAAGACAATATATATATATATATATATATACTCTTTCGAACAATATACTATACAATACAGGGGGTTCCATTAAAAATTTTTGAGTTGGTGCTTTTTGGGACACTAAAAAATTTTAAGTAAAACTTCCCATATTGTAGTATATTGTTTGAAAGGGCATAAAAAAAGAAAAATTTTGGCGTAAACCAGAGGTCGATACGTTAACCCATTCAGGAGTTATTTAGGGTCAAAGTTCGGAAAAACCAATTTTTGAACCTAAATAACTTTTAAATGGGTCAACGTATCGAACTCTAACTTGCGCCAAAATTTTTCTTATTTTATGACCTTTCAAAGGATATACTACAATAAGGGGGGTTCTATTTAAAAAATTGAAGGTAACTTTCACGTGACCTTCAAGCAACTATTCAAGGTCAAACTAATGATACCATTTTATGTGCCCTTCGAAACCGTACAACTTTTGTCTGAAACATTTTTGCTGAAAATGCTTCGTTGAAGAATTATCATCGAGGTACGTTTTTTAAAATGGGACACCCTGTATAGGGTAATTCAAGACCTCTGCAACAAATTCTGAGGAACGACAGGTCTCGCAGAAAGAATTATTTTTTGCCAAGCAACCCATGTTCTCTGACGCGTCGTTTAGGAGCTACGCAACCACGCAGACAAGTCTTAGGTGACATTTATTACAATTATGAAATAAATTATTTATTTATTGTTTCAAGTATAGTTGCAGACAGTTTACAGAAGATTTTCAAAGTGTCTACCCTGTCTGAACCTAATTGCATTTTGCGCTACACAGTTGGCCGTAACATGATCTCAAATGTTCGATAGAGTCGTAACCTGATTGCATTCATGACAGTAAATGTGGTTGCGTAGCTCCTAACCGATGCGTCAGAGAACATGGGTTGCTTGACAAAAATAATCCTTTCTGCGAAACCTATCGTTCCTCAAAGTTTGTTGCATAGGTCCTGAATCACTTTATACATACTAAATTAAATAACCAAAAAAATTTTTGACTCAAGCAGGAGGATACAGATTTATTAAGGTAAATATTTACCTTTACAAACCTCTCCTCCCCCTCAATGATCTTCTCCTTCACATATATTGTAGAGAGCACTCTCCTGAGTAACCTTCAGAAGGTTTTAGCCGTCGTTCGTTGTTTATTAAAAAGTTGTGAACAAATATAACTGAGAAATATAATAAATAATTAGTGTCAGTATAATACTAAGGGAAGTAATTTACTGATATATGTGTATAGACAGTACACATATAGGCGGGAAAAGGGTTATTATAGGCGAACCAAGGTCCACCGCCCACCCACTCCTGCCTGCGGAGGAGGGGCGGTAGCCTACAAGTGTACTGTCTACACACATATATCAGCAAATTACTTCCTTTAGTACTGACACAAGCTTGTATGTTTCTCAATTTTTTTGTTTATAACTTTTAAATAAGCAATGACCGACGATTAATTTATAAGGAAAAGTTACTCAGGGCCATGTCCTTGACAATATATGTCAAGGTCAAAATTATTAGAAGTGCCTCCTTTTATCTTTATTTTTATCCTTTTCTATGCTAACTATTCTCTGCTTTAACAAAAAGACATGTCTGTTAAGTTAGCACCCCCCCAACAAAAAATCGGAATAACACATATACAGAAATTAAGTGCTCTTTATGTGCTCTATTCACGATTTTCGTGCTCGAGCGGTTTTGCGGGAAATCGCAATTGAAAGTAGGCCCTTATAAAAATTTAATACTGTAAGTGATTTTTTGGCTAGTGATTAATTATTTAAAAGCACTATTAAAAGCACTATTAACAGTGCTTTTAATAGTGTTTTTAAGTGATTAATTACTAACCAAAAAATCACTTACAGTATTAAATTTCTATAAGGGGGGTGCTGGCTTAACGTAAACTAGCACCTCCACTTATTAAAATTACATATAAAATAAAAAACTCAATATGCTAGAATTATGTGCTTTTTATATGCTTTCAAATGCCACAAACGAAATTAGTCTATCTGTAATAGTTTAAAAAATATACACAAAAAAAGATCTATATACTACTGATATAAGAGTAAAGTATCAGTTAAAATACAGAAAGCAAAATAATTCTTGTTTTAAAATGTTTCTCGATTAATGTGTTCTCGAAATATGCACAATGAAATTTTCGTGCTCATCCCCTTCCACCGACTCGAACGTGAGCACCCCATATACGTACAAGAGTAAAGTACCAGTTCAAATACAGATAGCAAATTGGTTTT